GCGCATGAATGTACTTTAGTGCCAAATCGACAATTGAATGACATTTGGGCTGTACAAGTCTGTTAATTTACTCAGTCAAAATTTCTTGGCCCAATTATAGCTTAGCACCTTAAAATTTAATCAAAAAGCGATTAAGCCTAATTTATCTGATATTTCCACTAAATTACTTCGACCAGTAGTTTATTGGAAGTGACACTTGCAATTGCTAGACTTATTTATTATATAGTTGATTATTTTTACGATTGTGCTGTTGTCCGGCAAAGAGATTCAAGGGTCAATCTTACCATAAACCGACGCCTGATATCCGTTCAGGTTGACACATTCCTTGGTACCTCCTGCCTAATTTAGGTTAAAGACGTAGTGAGCTTTCATCCATTATCTGACAGACCTCAGAGTTGGAGCTTATTATTGCAAAAACCTAAAGTTATCACAAAGTCAAGAAGTTTAGCCGGTTCTATCATGGGCATTTTATATGCTCACAACTAAAAATCGAAAAAATATACATCTCATGTGACTGGAAAAATAGGATAACTTGATTAGTTATTTGATAAGCACTTATATTATTGAGTGTACGAGTATATTTGTGCTTTTGCTAGTTTAAGTCAGTAAAAAACACCAGTCATATCCAAAGTGGTTACAAAAGAGCCCAACTTGCGTTCTGGGTCATCCAGGCTTAAAGAACCAAGGAGAATTACTCTTATTAAATATATGCAAAATTAAACGTTGTATTATGGTTAGTGAGGAATGGCTCACTTGTAGAGTAGTACTTTATTAGTATTATTACTTTTTAATGGATGCATACGGTAATAATGGGACTGGTAGCTGAATTTTTTCGAAAGGAATTCTCAAAGGACTGCAATTTCGAACTCGCCTAGGTCCAGCCTGGATAAGAATACTTTTTGTGAAAGCAAGACTATATGAAATTCAATGTAAACATAAGGTCTACTCATATCATCGTGGGAAAATTAAACTACCAGTTCACTTTTCACCATAAACAAAGTAGAGTGAAAACAACTCATATATTTGATCTATTGATAGTTTCAAACCCTAATTTACAACTAAAAATATTTTATTTATTGCCAAAACCATTTAAATATAACGACAAGGACTACTACCTCTGTTATTTGCAATCAGCCGATTAATCTTGTGTAATTTTTAATGTACTTTCTTCTTCTCTGACAAGTCGACAAGCTGAAATATTAATGGGAAGATGAGACTGATCATATTGCTGGATATTCAGACACGTTAGGTGTACACTAAGTTGCCAAATACGGTCTAATTTTCGTTTTGAGTTGGTTTTTAAGATTGCCAGTAAATTGGATATATGAGCTGTGCTTACGCTATTTCCTTTATGGTGACGAGGGGCTGATAGTTGAATTTTCCCACAATGAAATGAGTAGAGCTGACGTTTCCACTGAATTTCACATAGCCTTGCTTTCGTAAAGGGAATTCTCATCCAGGGGGGACTGCAGTTTCGACTTCGCCTATGGCTTATCAACACCTCCAGTGGGACTCGAACCATGACAGTTTGCTGAAACCTAGGCGAGGTTGAAACTGCACTCCAATTTAGCCTGGATGAGACTACTTTTCGGGTAAGTGAGGTTATGGGAAATTCAATAAGAGAGAGAATGAGACTACTAGGCTTTAATCACCTTAAACGACGTATTAAGTTCATATGCAAATATGCTTCGAAGCTGGCAGTAATTCGTGAATGAGAACATTTATCACTCTGGTCATTTAAGATAATTTGAGGATGGTAGCGAAATTTCTCAAAGTTTTAACTCAAGGATTATTTGTAGCTTCGAGGCCTACTCACATAGAATACAAGTAACCTTCTCTGTCGTAATGGCAAAGGTTTGTGTTCCGTATCGGCATTCCAAGTACAAGTGTGATTTTGGAGACGTCCGACTTGTCTTGTTAGACCTTAAGGTTTTCATAGCTTGTATTACTCATGGGCAGCATGCCAACTCAATAGGCATGATACCATTGCGAATTGACCCGTTGGCGACAATCGATCGAGACCGCGATCCACCATGGACGAGAATACCATTTGGTGAGCAGGGCTATGCGAAATCCAACGGAGTCGTAAGGTCTACTAATGTGATTGTGGGAAAATTCATCATTTAACGAGATAGGGTGAATACATTTCATATATATGATCTACTGGTAGTCTCGAAAACCTACCTATATACGAAAAATAGGATCATTTTATTGTTTTAAGATGATGCTCGCTTTGTTCGAAGCCAATTGTACACATCGGGCGGAAATAAATTGTTTGCTCGACCACATGTTGTTCCCTCCCAGGCATGAGCCATGGAGGAGAAACGAAGACAAATGCAATTACCTTGGAGACTGATCTACCTTTTTTGTCGACCAAATAGGTATACGACAATCATCACTTTCATTAAAAAATGATTTGTTTTGTCTTACTCTTATACATTCTGGTTGAAAATATTTTAATGCATACTTTGATCACCAAGTCAATCATCAGGTGTTTTTGCCTACTGCTCCCTTTACATCCCTTTCGTCCTACAGTTGATTGGGAAATATTTGTTGCTGCCATACTTTCAAATAGCTATCATTGCACCCGACAAGCTCGTCTTTCCGACCGCACCCGTCTTTTCTGCTTCGGCCTCCTCTGATTCGCGATCTCACACTCCAGAAGGAGCCTATGCCTCTCGGGCCTCCAGCCTCTCCGAAGGGGGCCAGGCGTCTCTAGCTAGTCGGCAGCAAGACTTCCACGCCATGTGCATGAGGTTCCGTCATAGCATGGCGGCCATGCTTCGTCTGGTATACCTTGTACTGGCCAACAAAGGTATACTTTTCGATCCTGACGATGTTTCCTTTCCTCGAAGTGCGAAGTCTCAACAATTGTCTTCTACTACTGAACGGGTGAGGCTATGAGGCCAAGCTTGACTTCTCATTTTGTTTCGGTTTGTATGCTTCTCGAATGGGCCCAACAACTTGGACAACAATTATTATTACTACGTCAAATAGGAGACGTCTAAAAGCGGTTTTGTCTCATTTTTGCAACCTGAATGTGTTGTCAGAACAACCTGGACTAACACCCTTTGTTCGAAATCCTTTGTTATAGTGGTCATGATACCTTATAGCGTCGGATTGCGGAGTTGGTACAGTCTCTGATGTTTCACCTGCATCGTTTATCAGTCTCTACGGGTTTTGCACAAGCTATACTTCGCGAGAGCGACCAATGAAGTCGAAAAAAAGTTGCAGAAGGTGCTCTTACCGAGGCTCTCATGACAAAAATGCCAAGTTCTGAAAACGAGGAAAAAAGACGTCTCGACTAGGAAAGGTGACTTCGACCAAAACAGACGCAACACCATTTTGGTCTTTATATCCGCGATTAGGCAGAAGTCTACTTTCTATCTACTTATGGGGCTATCTTAGATAATGCACTTCTGCTTTTCTCAAAGAATATTGGCTTTTCATATACCAAGTGTTCGGGTCTCTAAACAATCAGGATATTTTTAATGGCAACCTATAACATCGTTGGTCACCAGGGGGCAACCACGATTTCCAGTGAGCCACATGACTTTTAGAGCAATTCAGGACTCTCTTTATTTCCATTCACAATAAGACTTGTATCGGCAAAGCAAAATTGTATATTCTATTACAATCTTCAATGTTCACTAAACTTATACATACACGATTGAGACCGTAATGATGCATACACGTTTCCTTTAAGGATATATCTAAATCTAAGCACACACACACACACACACATATATATATATATA